TGGGCGGTTTTTGGTTGGCCCCATTTCCCCCCAAAGTTATGGGGGGTCCCCCCCTGGGGCCCGGAGGAACACCCCCAGCCCCCGCCCGGGGGGGGGTAAAAGTGCCCATCCAGGTTTTCTTTTTCGGGGGGCCTTTTTAAAAATTGATTACTTCGGGGGGGTTTGAAAAAAATTACCCCCCTTTTGAAAGGTTTATTCCTTTTTTTGAGGGGGGGTTGGTTTTTTCTTGTTTGGTTGGGGGGAGAAACATTTTTTAAATGGGAAATGGGACCAGGGGCTTGGGAGGCCTTTTGTTTGTTGGGGGAAAAAAAGCCGGGGGGGGACCTTTTGGGTTTGGGCGGGAGAATTTTTCGGGGGGGGAGGGTTTTGGAAGGGTGGGGGGGGGGGCCCCTTTACAAGCAGCCTTGAAGTGTATTAAAACAAAAAACTTCCGAATTTGGAGAGTTGGGGGGGGGGTTCCTTAAAAGAGTTGGAAAAGGGGGGTTGGTTGGGCCCCAGAAAAGCCCCTTGATAAATTTGATAAAGGGGGGGATTTTTTCCCAGTGGAGGTTAAGTTCTTAAAATAGTTTTTTTGCAAAACTTTTTCCGTTGGGGAGGGGGGGGGGGGGGGGGGGGGGGGCTACTGCATAGGGCGAGCACTGTATCGGATCTCGCTGGTCGAAGGGTGTTGAGCCTTCCTTGTGTTGCCGATGCTGTTATACCGTATCTGTCGGTGGCGGGTGGCGGGGAGGGGGGTACTTGTGCAGAACGGGGCCGCATTCGTCGCCTGCAAGTGCTCAGGTATATATGCCACATAGACAGTTAAACCCTAGGGGATCAAGAGCGCGGCTCATGTTTCATGGCGGACATCAAACGGTGCGTTTTAACTTCGCGGCACGGGAACGTACATATGTGGTGTGGGAGGTAACCATCGTGTTTCAGGGATTTCTACCAATCGGTGTATGATGTACATACACGCGCATTTTTCTTTCACGGGGGTGGCGGTTGGTTGTAGAATATTCATTCCATGTACTAGGTAGAAGATAAAGTCGACCAGTAATGGTATCCCTACATTTTTATTTTCTTCTTGGTTAAATTTCCTACATAGATACATAGATAGCTGGACAACATTGGGGCGATGAACGCGTTTTCTTTTTCTCCATAGAATGGGTTATTAGCCAGCTCAAGAGTAGATCTCACGTCGTCATTTTTGACAGGGGTAGTCATGGTCTGGATGGTTGTTGTCAGACACTTCTGGACAACAAACAAGCACACACCGATACAACGTTTGGTGGCGCCCGCCGTCTGCCCCCCCTAGCCACCAAGCACTTGCTTCGGTAGTGGTTGGGCATATCCTTACCTTTTGCTCAGCCAAGCGTGTACAGAAAAAAGGAAGGGCTTCGGGGTGCATCATATCTATGTACCTCAGGGGACTAGAGAGCAATCGCATCGTGGGTGTGGTCTGATGCTTCGATGGGATTCGAGATTATCGTAAATTTACTAAGAATGTATCCAGCAGATCATTATTATATGTAAGATGTAACAAGTTTTTGGAGGGAGTCTATGCAAACTGCGTTGTAGCAGTGCAGTGGATATCTATCGTGTACAACAGTAGCAGTTTTCGGAACTTTTCCGTGGCTACCTATATGCATACGTCAATGTTGTCGTTGTTATTGTTGTTCGTGGGGGGGGGGGAGGGGGGGTTCGGACCAAGCGAGATTAACGCAATGAGAAATGAGCCAGCATGGTTCTGCGACGTGGTCCTTAACGATAGAACGATCGCAGCCCGTTTTCTTCCCGTACGTATTCTGTACGCGCAGCATATATTGCCTGTCTGTCCATTGAGCTTTGAGTGTGTTTGGCAGGAGGTGACAAGAGAGAGAGGCAACAAGTTTTCCGGTCATTGCCGTACCGCCAAACCTTCGGAGGCAGGGATCGCGTGGAAGTTTTGGCGACAAGAAGTTGCACAGCGATGATGGATGATATATGGACCAAAGGGAGGAGGCCTCCACGTTCAACCGATACATGTAGACTCATACTGCTGTAGTCTACAAAATCCCTTTCAGTTACATAGGGAATTTGATGGTCGCAACGTTTCGAGGCAAAGAGGGACGAACGAACGTGAGCACACTACTATTAGACTATTATTCGCATGATGGAGCATCGTCAAGCAAAGAAAGGTGTTGCTTGCTTCCAAGTATTAAGTCCGTAAGCATATTTGTACGTGAAAAACGCGAGCTGCCGAAGTGGTAGCTGACCGTGTTAGTCTGCCACAACAAGATGATGATGTTTCCGGAGAACCCAACACTCACTCATACTCCGGAGTAGATAGATGGCGGTATCTGTGTTTGTGCGTATATATATCTCTGCGATACTTGTTTTCTCCAAAGGATGGCGCTTTACTGCTGTCGGTTGTGTTGTTGTGCATTTATGGCCAAGCAAACGTCAACAATGTAAAACATCAGAGCACGATACACGTACAGTAGACTTTGGTCGTACATAGTATCAAAGGCTATCCCCATGAGGGACAGAAAAGACGCGGAAGATTTTATATGTATACCAGCGGATTCGAGAATTTATTCGTGACCCAGTGCACACCCCTCAATATCCAGAATACCAACCATCGAGCCCCCCGCATTGGAAGCTCCTGTTCCACAGCACACAGACGCGCACACAGGTGCAGGTTTTTACCAACATTAGCGCCTTGCTCAGCCAGCCGTGAGGCAGAGCTACGGTGTGCGCCAACGCTCCGGTGAACTCTCCTCCATTGAAGCAGGCCACAGATTTAACCGCCGACCGGAGCAGATCCAGACATCCACCGCCGAGCGGCTGCAACGGCGCTCGGAACAGGAGCGAAAAACACCACACGCAGAGAAAATGAGCGCTGTTACCGGAACGTCCAGCGGGAGTAGTGCTGGCCCTCCAGCACCTGGCGGGAACGGACCCGTTGACATCAGCAACTGGAACTTGTACGGGCGCTCCTCCTCTGGGAGGCCGGCTGTGTGGCTGGTTGGGCCGATAGTCGGGGCATGTACGGAGACGACCGCAAGGTTGGTGTGTTCTGCCCGGCGGCGATATACAACAGCAGTGCGAGTCAGTTTTTGCGCCAAAACGATTGTTGGGCGCGGTGCGTCGGCTCGAGCTGCGATGTGCCGTGTTGAGGCAGCGCGCGGTTATTTTTTCCTCCGTTGTCTCCCGAGTGCCTTGCTCCCTGCTGCTGGTGTATTTATTGCACCTTCATTCCTCCGCAGAAGGATTTTGTTGTTTTTCAACAACCGCGCGCCCGCCGGGATCGAACCCAAAAAGCAATTATTTCATTATTTCTCCTCCAAAAAACCAGTAGACTTTGCAATCTCCGACGCAACGTACATTTGGTAATGATAGACCGGGGAAGCGTAGATACACGGGTGACATCGGCTCCGTCATGAGGATCTGGTGTGAACGTTTCGCGTCCTCCTCCGGGTTCATGCAATTGTTAGAAAAAACTAGGACCATCACCGCTTCCCATGCACCACCAAACTTCGAACGAGAGTATAATTCAAGTACAGAATTTCTGTATATACAGCAGTTTCTCCTCCAAAAAAACAGTAGACTTTGCAATCTCCGACGCAACGTACATTTGGTAATGATAGACCGGGGAAGCGTAGATACACGGGTGACATCGGCTCCGTCATGAGGTTCTGGTGTGAACGTTTCGCGTCCTCCTCCGGGTTCATGCAATTGTTAGAAAAAACTAGGACCATCACCGCTTCCCGTGCACTACCAAACTTCGAACGAGAGTATAATTCAAGTACAGAATTTCTGTATATACAGCAGTAGACTTCGGAAAAAAAAAAAGATCCATCTTTGTCGGAGGGGCATGTACGTTTATCGGGCGAAGGGAACAAATAATTACACAGCACCAGAGCTCTTCGCTCCCGCTCGGAACGCGTCGCCACGTAAAAAATAAACAAACAAGGTGGGCCTAAGTTGGGGGCCGAGCAGCGTAGGGACGCGTTTTCCATCTTTTCCTCACGTTGGACACCACCAAAAATTTAGATTTCATCTCCTTCCAGTCTGGGATGGTAGGACTTTGATGGAAGTTATGCGTACCTGTGTTCGCACGATTCCCCGAACAGCAAATAGCGATATCTCCCCTGCGGGTAACAGCGTTTAAGTGTTGGACAATTTCATTTGTTGGAAGCGCATCGTTTTCCTTGAAGCTTCTTCAAGTACACCTAAATTGCGAAACACTTGTCACGCCCACCGCTTTCTTATTTAGTCGCGCGATGCTGACAATCCACGGCGGAAAATTCTACGGGTTCTTTGGAAGTCCCCGGACCAGGCGGCCGGGTCCTTCCGTCCCCAACACACGGAAAATGAGGAGCGCGATGACGACAGCAGTGGTACTGCTGCTGTCGCCACGAAAACTCTGCACGCCCCACCCCCCCACACACTTATCTAGAAAGGTAGATTATTAGAACTCTGTATTTTACTACTGTACTTATAGTCAAAGAGACCAGAACCACAGCGGTCGAACGGTATGGGTTGAAGTCTTCGCAGCAGTGACTTCCAACCCGAAGGAGATAGGTTGAAGTCTTTACAGTCAGGGACTGGGAAAAGTCCAACTTTTCTGCCGCGATCACTGCCATGGGGGTAACTTTAGCTTTTCACTTTCGATACAGAAGTATAGTGTATGGTACGCTTTGAACGGCGACAGAGGGAGAGGAATGCAACAGCAGCCCCTCGAAGATTCTCTCCTTTCGTGTTTCGTGCCCCGGGTCTTCGGCGGACCGTACCAAGAAACGTTCCTTGCGGGGTCATTTTCTTCGGAAAATCATGCAGCAACATCGCGGATGAAACGTAAGATAGATGGTTCGGGACACAGACTGAAACCCTCTGGCGATCTGATCTGATGTATCAATCATCGTGTGCAAGTAAGTACACGCAACGACGATAAGTGTGTTGGAAAACCTACTCTGAAACAGCGGAATGTAGTCGGCGGGGGGCACGATATGCTACATGTGCTGCTGGTGGGCGTTCTTGACCCTGGTACGGATCAGGGTGGACGAGGTACAGCGAGCGGCGCGCGCTGGTGGCGCGCAAGCACGAGGGTGTGCGACGTTACCATGGAGCGTCGATATTTTGTCGGCCCGCCGATCGCAGATACACCACCGTAGGTTGCACAAAGATGACGCCTCCTACGGGCCAATTTTCAAAGCTTGGTTACTCCCGCGACGAACATAGGATCGCCGAAATCATGGGGATATGGTACGTTTTCGGAAAGCTGTCGACCGGAAGCTTCCAACGCGAGGCCGTTTTCGACAGGCACCGCCATTGTGTTGTTGCCGAAGAGCAATCGAGCGTTTGGAAATTCGGTCCAGGGGGGGGATGGTATCTTCCGTCGACCGCGGTAGACGCACACCTACGTACACATATGTAGGAGACGCGCCCATTTCGTCCTTCCGTTGGGCCCTAAAAAACGTCTCGTTTGTGACTTAATGTGCTCCCACGCGTTGTTTTTTTCTTGCCTTCTTTTGTCGTTGTTGTTGTTTGTTCCCTTTCGACCCCACTCGCGAGGCAGGATCCTCGTGGAGATGGACCAAACGACTGTTGTGTGCATGAACGCTTTCATGGACGGGCGTAAGGTCGCCACCGTGTCCAAGGTATGTCTGGTGTTCTATTTCCTCATAAACTTGTATTAGTCGCGCGAAGGCGGGCATGCTTGTGGCGGGCGTGTCAACTATAAAACAAGCACACGATTCAAGCATCCCCATCCCGGCTGGTTCGAGTTGTTGTCGCCGCCTCTCTGCTCTCGATCGCGCGGATGGCCTATATGGGCGCACCCCGACTCGAAGCTTATGTTGTTTTGTCTCTTTTTTTTTTAGTTGACCGCCTTCTCCGAACCCAGACGAGATCAAGGTTCGAGGTAGGGAATACTACTGTCGTGTGCACGAGCAGCACGGATGGCATGGTACGAAATTGGTTGAGTTTGTTGCTCCGCGTCACACGGGACGCTGACGTCGAGAACAAAAAACTTCAGGCAGGCCGTATGTGGAGCTTTTCCTCCAGTACCGTTAACCCAGGTTAGCATTTTTTTTTTGTCCCCGTCACCCACCAGTCTAAGCGCGCCTCTACGTTCCGTTCAAAAAGAAACAAAAATATTTTGCTTTTCGTCGTGTACCGAACAGAGATCTGACAAACGCCGTAGACGTCGAGAAGGAACAAGAACAAAAAAAATACTTCGTACTCGGCAGTGACACTCCTCACCCACCCCGCAAAGTACATGAGATCAACCTCGAACCGACGTAGCTCACCCCAAGCCGCCGTCACTCCGCCTCCGATGATGGGGCCGTGTTTGCAGGAGGTGAGAGCCAAGACCCCGACGGCGTTCAGCCTGAGGGGTTTCAAGCCGGGGAAGCGTATCCGTGTCGTGGTGGACGTGGGGGAGTTCGGGCAGGAGCGGGAGGCTCGGTTCACGACGACGTCGGACAAGACGCTGTGGAAGATCGGGGCGTGAGTGAAGAAATTTTCAGAAAATTACATACAGAAGCACCACTACCCGTTCGAGATATAACCAGAGTCGGAAGGATGGGGTGAAGTCTGTACCTTTTTTTTTTTTTTTCGTGATCGATGTTTCGTGTGTATCGTGTCGTGTTCTTTAGACAATGTGAATACAAGCCACAGACAGACTTCCTTACCCTTTGGAGGAAAATGACCCCACGGCAGTCGAAGGTGTGTGTCGTGGATGTACCTACCTACAGCTGCTAGCAGGTGGTATTTTGTAACATCACTTAGTTTTTGATGCGAACGACGCAGGTACCCCGGCGGCACTGCTGTGAAGGTGTACTGTACCGAGTTCGGTAACGTCAAAGGACATATTACAAACGGATCCTTCTCAACACTGGACCCCCTTGCCTCGCGCACCTCCGGTGCCTGCACCGGCTGCCGGTTGTTTTTCGTGCGGCGTTGCTCCCCCATCTCTTTTCATCCGAAACTCTCTCACGGTGGTCGTTGGAGCCGACGCCTCTCGCTTGTTGTCTCGCTTGTGGTGGGGGGCGTTTCCTTAACTTGCTTGTATTTTTTTTATGTTCATGGACGACACAGAACGCTTGCTGACGCCCAAGCTCTCGCGTTGTTCTCTTTCTTTCATGTGTTTATTTATTTTTTTCTTCTGACATTTGGCGTGTTACGCCGCTGCCCCTCTGCCGCTACCCTTGTCTCGCTGCACCACCACCATCACCACCACCGCCACCACCAGCGTGAGCTGTAACTGCCACACGCACATCGAGAAGTTGGGATTGTGGGACCGCCTTTCTACCGTGGTGGGTGACGTTGACTGCGTGCTGCACCTGGGGGACCAGATCTACGCCGACGAAGATTTCGGCGCCAAGTGAGTTTTCGTTTTTTTTTTTTTCATTACAGTAAATCCGTATCTTTGTTTTTAAAAAGACATTTGCATACAATATGTCAATCAAAAACTACCGTCCAAGATTTTACTTTACCACAGGCGATTGGGATGCGTTGAAATCTTCACAGTAAGTTTTCGATTCCTTCTACAACGTTACATACAATCACCGAAAGGGTATCGTTCGAAATATACAACCACAGCAGTAGTCGATTTATATGCGTTGAAATCCTTACAGCAGTGAAGTTTTTGTACGTTTCAGTTTCACCAGGTGTGGCCCTCTTGTATGACCACCCCTGCTTTGGAAATATGGTCGCTGTAGTCGACGATGTCAGCGTCGTATGTTTCCCTCGAAGCATCAATCAGTTTGCGTGTTTGTGATTGTGTTTCTAATGATGAATCGAGAATGGACCAAGACTCGAAGGATGAATTGGTTTTGTTCAGATGTAGCTCCTACCTCTACTCTTTGCGCACACAAGGCTGAGGTGGTGGTTTGTTTCGCTTGTGGAACGTGGTGTGAGTTGGTGTCGTTGTATGTCGTTCCACTCAATCCCTGCTTGCTGCGGCCGGCATCGCCATGCACGCCCAACACCCCTCACGGAATAGTTTTCGCCACAAGAGCAGTACAAAATCTAAGGCTGTTTCGTGTTCCTCCGGACGCCCCCTGCGCTTCGGACTTGTTTTTTTTCTTTGTTGGCAGGAGCGGCGGCAGCGTGCGTTTCGATTCGGCGTGGCAGGCGTGCTTGACGATGTTGGAGGACGTGGACCGGAGTGGGTGGGACGCCCTGCGGCCGCAGCTGCTGGAGTGCTACAGAAGAACATACCGCAAGTGGGTGGCGTGCGTACGAGGTGGCGGGGCGGCGTGACCACAGCAGTACCTT